TACACCCTAATCCCTACACCCTAATCCCTACACCCTAAACCCTACACCCAAACCCCTGCTTTTCCAGAAGTAGCCCAGGCTCCGCTCTGCACAACAGTGGAGAAGCGGGCGTAGCCGGTCACCTGGCAATTTACCTAGTTGGGGGGCGGGGGCGAGTTCCCTTAGGAGTACCTTTAAAGGGGGATACGGGGGTCAGATATTGGGTGGGTTTCTGTTAGGAGTGCCTTTCAAGGGGGATGTAGGAATTTATGTCAAGACTTTTTGATGATACATAAGCATTTACAAGGTTTGTGGTTTCTCAGAAATAGGAGTACATTGTGGGGGAATCCCTATTATAATGTTTAGAGTATATCAGGGTCTATACCAATCTTGTTTAGGTTTCTTTTGGCGGGCGCTTTTCCGTCTGCTGAAAGAACAATCCGGTCTGTGGATTCGATTTAGGGTTTGGCGTTTAAGGCTCTCTCATCTCTCTCAACACAATCCCCATACAAGCCTTAATGGGGACCTCTACAATCCTCTTATAATGCGTGCATACCCCTAAAATGCCTAAAGACCACCCCCTTTCTCGACAAGACCCAACATTGACTACCCTCAGATTAGGGATGCCAAGGCGAACACTTGCGTTTTGAGGGTTTTAGGGTTTATTTAACCGGAATTATGCCAGCGAATCAAGGTTTCTGGGTTGAGGGCGAGCTCCAAACAGTGTACTGTGTACTCTCCATGCCCAGAAATAAGACCTACATTGGGCCCTAAAGTCCATCAATACATTGGGCTATCTGGTAACTTAGGAGTAGGACTTTAAAAGCGCACGAAAAAAGATCTCGTAGAGAGCACTCGAAGACCTCAAACCCTAAATCGGGATTTCGGGCTTCGGGGTAGTTTCCGTTCTCTTTTCCATGATCCCTATATATGTCCTCGATAACCCTACGTAACCTCTATTCCCCACACTATATACCTGGCACAAAAGCCAAGCAGCGAGGACACTCCGCAAGAATGTGCTTTTGATGCAACCCTACACCCTAAAGCCCAAACCCTGAACCCCCAGCCCTAAACCCTAAACCATAAACCTTAAACCTTAAACCCTAAACCATAAACCGTAAAACCCTAAACCACAAACCTTAAACCCTAAACCATAAACCTTAAACCCTAAATCCTGGTGAGTGCCACGAATTTAAGGACATCCCCGCCTTCACGGAAACTGCCAGTGGTAAGGCCATGCTGCGCGAGCCCCGAACCCAACCAGGGCTATATAGTTCCCCTTAAGTAGATAGAACATGGGGTCTAGGGTTTAGAGTATAGTTCCCCTTAAGTAGATAGAATATGGGGTTTAGGGTTTAGAGTTTAGTCCCCCTTTAGTAGATAGACTATGGCTTTGGGTATATTATAGTAAGATCCTCATATACTCCATATTCGATCTACTTAAGGGGAACTATAGCAGGGTCCTTTGCGAAGAACCCAAAATCCCAACCCCAAATACGAAACCCTTGTGGGCATATTGGAAGCCCTATTTTGGCACGGGTATCTGCTGTGGGCTGATGATGCTTGTGTGTGCTTTGCCTATAGGTTTATAAATGTATGTATATAATGCTTCACGTATTTACATACGTTTTCCACACATATATATATATATATCATCTATTTACTTATGTAGGTGGGTATATTGTTAGCACCCCTCCCTGTATGCATGGTCTCTCGCATGGGCACAATCCTCAGAATGCCCACAAGCTCGGCCGTATGAGTGTAATGCCAAAATTAGGGTCCTGTTTTCGTATAACCCAAAGGGGCCCCATAGCTTTGAGAACATGCCCTATGCTAAAGCGTGAATCGCATGGCTGCTGCTCTTCTTCTAGTCTCGTTGCTCTTCTTGTGGAGGTGGTGGTAGTTTTCAACCTGTTTGTTGCTGCTTGTTGTTGGGTTCTGCCAGCTCGCAGCCATAGCTCGCTATACGAAGAAGCAACGGCCAAAGATAGTCCTGGTTTGAGGTTTTCCCAGAATTACAGGTACCCATTTGGCCGTCCCAAAAGTAAGGATTGTAATGCACAGGGGTCTATATTGGGGTCCCTCCATTTTGGGAAACTACCATTTGGTAAGCAATCTTACCTACACTAGCAGTACATCATGACTTGAATCTCTCTGATCGCCTGGGCGCTCAGAAAGGTTCTGGCAAACCCTGCGCCTACATGGGGATTTTGCAAGGTAGGGTGCCTGGAGGGAACCTGGGGACACCTTATATGCATGACTGTACATGTGAGAAGCACCGCAGATTATGCCGGGGTCAGGGATGCAACACCCTGGTGGGAAGCAGGAGCCCAAGCAACTACAACAGTCCTGCAGAAAGGTCATAGACACGCGAAAAGCCAGCTCTAAACCTGCAACTCAACACGCTAGAAGCTCTATCCCAGGTAAGCTGAGTCTTTGAGTGCCATGAGGTTGAGTGCACTGACAGTTCACGCAGATCCGACCTCTTTTCAGCAGCGGCGCATGCGGTCGTTGTCCAGAACAAGGGTACCCCAATCAAGTCCGTAATATACTATAGTCCTTATGCATACCATATTGTGAGGACCCCCCAAAAAAATCTACCCTACTTTTGCAATCCCCCGCATATATCCGCATAAACTTAAGTGTCCAGCACAATCGCAGATCTTCCGGCCCACGTCTTTATTCAGTCTTCTTGCCCTCAAAATCTCAAACTCCTCCTACTTCCGATGCTACAACCAATGCTCCATGTAGCCAATGATAGAAAACCAAGAAGACTGTACCAATATAACCCCTATATAGCCCATTATAGTAGTTTCCATTTCATTTTCCCTTTTCTTTTCCATTTGATTCTCCATTATTATTGGGGGTAGAGGACCTGCCGGGGAGTGAATAGCACCTGGTCCACCGGTCCAGATGACTACTTGAACTCCCAGGACTTGCCTCCGGTGGGCAGCCAATCTGCCTATACAATGGCTCTGCAAAACCCCGAGGAAAAAAAGACCTTGCCCATAGACACCTTGATGCAAAGCAGTATCTAAGGAGAGGGCTGAATTCAGCTGAAACCGTGCAGGTTTCCTGTACATGCTTCAGCTTTGTTGATCCAACTATCCCATTTGGAGACCGATCCTCTCAAGACTCATGAAGTACCTGCGGGCGACTTTGCCGTAGGTAGGCATATTACGAAACAACAGCTTGATCCAGAAAAGTAGCTGTAAGGTGATATGACTTTCAACTTGTTATAACTTGAACGCTTTTCCAGCCGGAGTTTGGCTAGGAACTAGGCTTGTGTGCAAACCAAAGACCTTGTTTGGATAAAATGGTTCCCAACAAACACTGGGTCGTTTACTGTCAGAAACTTTGTGACACAAAAAGTTTCGGGTTACCTAAACCCAATGTAGGGTTTAGGGTTAAGGGTTTATAGCTCAGCTGATACCCCTACTTGCAATCCCCCAGCACGAACTATCTACAGTGCCTCCATTATTTATAAGTAGGGTTAAGCCAGTTGCAAGTACTCTTCGAGAACCAAAGTAATTCCTACCCACGCTTCCTTTGGAATGGGTAATGGCTTGTGAGAGGCTATTTTTGGGACTGTTGTGCGAGGGAAACATAGGCCCCCCAACCCTAAACCCTAAAAGGACTAAACCCAAATCCTATAAGCCCTAAACCCTAAACTTTTAAGGGACTAAACGCTAAACCCTAAACTTTTAAGGGACTAAACCCCAAACCCAATAAACCCTGAACCCTGAACTTTAAAGGGACTAAACCCTAAACCCCATAAGACCTAAACCCCAAACCCTACACCCTAAAGGGACTAACTGCGACAAGGATTCCTTCCTGCATTCCCAACTAAGCATCTGTCAGACGCAGAACCATGTGGGGGTTTAGGCTTTAGGGTTTAGGGTTGGATCTCTTGACTTAGCGAAACTACTCTGTAATGGTTGGGTTTAGGGGCTAGGAATTAGGGCTTGGCAACTCTACTCGGTAATAGGGGTTCTTATGGGGCTTATAATCAAGATTAGTCGGGGGTAGCAGGTGGACTTACTAAGTCCAATAATCTTCCAAATTTTCCGTCAGCGAATAATAGTAGAGTATCTGTATTCCACTCCGTAGCAAGACAGCTACAAGTAGCGCAATGCAATGCGGAACTACGTTAAAGCTGCTGTCAAAATAATCATATTAATATTAATGCATATTAATGCAACGTAGAAAAACCCTAGACCCTAAGCATCTGTTTCCAGCTACGAAGCACGTCTTACTTGGCCCGCCTCCCCACTTCTCATCAGCATTCTTTGGGCTCCTGCTTTAAGGTTTAGGGGTTTTAGGGTCTGGGGTTTAGGGTTTAGGGTGAATATGGAGAGCACCAGCCACACTGCTGAGACAGCAATAACAACACGAATCCAGGAGCCTAAACAGCCTGGACTATTAGGGCACCCTATACTCCCTGGTGCTGGGTTTAGGGTGTAGGGTTTAGGAGGGAATGGAGGAATGGATCATGGGGGTGATTATTGGGGATTTAAAATAGGGACTACTATAGGGATCCATTCCCCCATTCCCTACCAAGCACCAGGGAGTATACCAGAATTATAGATCGAACCTGGGAACATATTACAATTGGCAGTTAATTGGCGGCTTCAGAAAAGTCAGAGGCCTGTTCTGGGAACTCCCTAGAGCAAGGATTCTCATCTATAGGGGTCTTTATTGGAGCAGCCATTTGTCGAAATCCCATTTAAGCCTGTACATCTTTAAAAAAAAACTGACCCGAAACCCTAAACCCTAAACATCCCTTAACTCAAAACATCCCTTGACTCTAAACGTCCCTAAACCCTAAACAACCTTAAATCCTAAACATCCCTTAAACCCTAAACATGCCTTAACCCTAAACAACCCTAAACGCCTAGAACCATCTGGGGGTTTCCTAAAATTAGGGGACCTTTTGGGGGTCCCCAGAAGAAGGACTCTAGTATATTGGGGTCTATATTGGGGTACCCTAATTTTGGGAAACGACCATCTCGGGCCCCAACCAACACCAGGTCGTCCAGCAGGACTGGCTTCGGGTGCGGCTCGTGGGTGGCTGGGTTCACCAAGAAGACTCTCCCATGAGGCCCCACATGGTGAACCTGGAACCTAGGGTTTAGAGTGGGTTCTTAGCTTAAACATGCTTTAACCGGCAAGAAACAGATATGAATGGCCGAAGACTGAAAAGTCAGGAATCTGCCCAAGAAACCTTCGCAGAGGAGGATAGTTGACGTCTCCCAATCGGATCTGCATTTTGCACCTGACGATGTCTCCGCGAACAAGCTCTGCGACCTGCACAAGCTGCATGCAAAGCCACAAAATCCGAACTTGCAACCGATCAGACCTAAAATTCAAAGAGACTTACCGAGCAAGCCTTGTTGACCCAACGAATTCAGGATTTGAAGGTCTGCTCGGACAACTTACCACAGGTGGTCAGACATGCGCGGCCTACCCCCATCATAGCCTGCGCTCCTAGAGAGCAGAAAGAATTTTCGGCCAAGCAAATTTTCACCTGATAATGATATTTTACAGCCGAGCGAGAGGAAGAATCTAATTGCCCAGCCAAGGTCAACGTTAAACCGGTGAAACAATTAACGCGATCTAGGGTTTAGGCTTACGTACAGTTTTCCGGTTTAGGGTTGGAATTGAGATTCCCACATTTGGGTTTGGGGGCTTCAGGAAGGACCCTTCATTGGGTCCCCTCTGGAATGAGGACTATACACCGGTTATATAAGGTAATGAGATTAGGGGTCCCGTAACCCTAAACCCTAGACGCTATACCCGGAACCGCAACTCTAAAACTCCTGAACCCTAAAATCCTGAACCCTAAAACCCTAAACCTTGAAACCTTAAACCATCAACGCCTTAAAACCCTGAAACCCCAAACCCTCAAACCCTAATCCCTAATGCCCTAAAGCCTAACTCCCAGTAGCCTTTGATCACAAAGCTGCGGAACGTACACCTTTAATCCCATCCCCCTGTTATTAAACCCCCCACACCCCTAGTATAAAACACGCCCGATGGTGGCATGTTATCATGTATAACCCCAAGGGTCCAAGGACCCAAAGAATAGGGTTTTAGGACCCAAATACTATACTATTAATGGTAGTTGGGCCCTAAAACCTTATTATTTGGGTCCTTGGACCCTTAGGGTAAGGAAGATCTAGTATCAGGGGGAGGGTAATATTATAGGGGGAGGCGATTACAGGCCCCGGAGGGCACCATGCTTCAAGCGGGACATGCGACAACTGGTTTAGCGTTCAAGGTTTTAGGTCTAGGGTTGTAGGGTTTTTTCCATCGGTGGTTTGAGGGTTTAGGGTTTGGGCAACCAGGTTTAGGGGTTTAGGGGTTTAGGATTTAAGGGTAAGATACTATACGGGCCTACCAGTTTTGTGGTCCGTAATGGAGAAAGCAATGTTAAAAACAAAAAAAGGAATCGACAATGAGGTTGTATGAGCTAACGACGTGAATGAGAGCTGCTGGCCTCGGCATCTCCGTGTGGAGCCTCTTTCCTTACTGAAGGAAGCGAATAGGACCGCATAGGTCCTACAGAACCCTAAACCCTAAACCCCTAAACCCTAAACTATTGGGTGAACATGGTTGTACAGGGACAACTATAGGGATCCTTTCGCATGAGCTACAGGTAAGTTTCTGTGGGCAGGGTCGGAGCTTCTCAAGAAGAAGTGCCAAATCCTGTCGCCCAGCCTTTCTTGCAGCATCTGCAGCAACCATGGGATTGGCCCCCGAATCTACGAGCAGCTGAGCAAGGTTGCTGTGCTCTTTGATACATGCGGCCAGCAAGGGTGGCTCACCGCTCTGAAGGCATGCATCCACCTGGGGATTTCCCAAAATGAAGGTTATGTGGGGTTTAGAATGGGGTTATATAGGGATAATAACTACCAGGTAGGGAGGTAGGGCTTGGGGATCTCCCAAAATAAGGGTTACCTTTTTGGGGGTCCCAATCAGGGCTATAGTTATAGTATATTGAGGTCTATATTGGGGTCCCCTTTTTTTGAAACTGCCACCTGTGCTTCCATCTTGATAAGATACTTCACCACATCCCCATGTCCATGATGCGAAGCCAGATAAAGCCCAGAAGACCCCTTTTTTGACCTGGTGCTTAGGAGGGAACGGCGGAATGGATCATGGGATTGTTATTGGGGATTATATGAGCTATAGTCGAAACTCCTAGTACCCCCCTTAATAACCCCTATAGTAATCCCCTATAGAATCCCCAAAATAACCCCCTTTAAGGAGTTTAGACTATAGCTCATATAGGGGCTACTTTAGGGATCCATTCCCCCAGTCCTCGCGTTGACATCGGCCCCGGCTGCCAGCAGCAACTCGAGCACGGGAAGGTAACCTCGCTGAGCTGCAATGTGCACAGGGCTGGCCCCAATGGCTGTTTGCGTCCTAGGTTCCCCAGTAACCCTTTCCTAATAAGGGTACCCTCTTTCCTACTGTTCAGTCTTAGTAAGGAGGCGCCAAAATAAAGGGGCAAAAGGGGACTACTGGAGTACCTAGTGTCTCTGGATCAGCCCAGTGGTATAGAAGAAGCTTCACCGCTTCAGTCTGCCCTGCCTGCGCAGCCAGAAACGTAGCGGTGGCACCACCCTCCACAGCCTTATCCAGTACACCGACCCGGCCACCTGGCCAGGCGATGGCCTCTGGGATCAAACGGCCAAGCACGTCCACATGCCCGTTGTGAGCTGCCATGATCAAAGGCGTAGCTCCATCCTGAGCTTCAGCATTTACATCAGCTCTGCCTCGGAGCAAGCTCTCGACAATTTCCAGCTGACCGTTCTGAGCAGCCGTGAAAAGCGGCGTGGCTCCGCGAGAGTTTCTGGACTCTACAGCTGCACGTCTCTCCAAGAGGCTTCGCACAATCTGGATATGGCCATTCTGAGATGCTATGTACAACGGTGTTACATCTGTCTCATCACTGGAGTCAAGGTCGAGATCACGCTGAGACACGAGATGCCGCACGATGTCCACATGCCCGTTCTGGGCAGCAATCAGCAATGGTGTGACCCCGTCGCCCGTCACTTGACTTGTGCTGGCCCTGGCGTCTAGCAAGGAACACATGGTCTTTGCATGGCCATTCTGGCAAGCAACGTACAGCGGGCTCGCACCAGTGCACATCACCAAATTCGCATCTGCACTGCATTTGAGCAGGAACCCCACAACATCCTCGTGGCCAAACTCAGACGCAGCGATAAGGGCTGTCGCACCATTCACATCCTTAGCACACAACACCATCACATGTTCTGCTGGGACTGAATCATTGCTGGAAGTATCTTCTTGGGAATTTTCTGCTGGATCGAAGCTACGCTTTGCCATCAGTTGAGCAGCCTAGATTGGGCAAGCTAGCTGAACCTGCTGCAAGGTCTTATTCCGTACTAAAAGAAGCACACGCCAGTCTGGTGCTCCACAGATGAACTCGACATGAGCCTCAAAATCAATCAAGTGCAACATACTGTGACAGCCCCAAAAACCTTAATTCTTATGGTCTAGACACCTGCTTGTTCCAGTCTTCCGCCTGCATACCAGCCTTGTAAAGTCTCCCGTCCGACTGGCTCTCCATGCCGCAGTCTCGCCTCTCTCGTTTGCACAGTTTGGATCCTGATGCTGCCTCAAGGCTGCTTCCAACAGCCTTGTGCCCTCGCGTCCAGAAATCGCGGCGGCTGTCAGCAGCTGGTCCAAGGCAGCTTTTGGATCGGGAGAAAACACGTGGACTAGAATCTCAAGTGGACAGCCCAAGGAATCCCACGAGCCAGCTTCCAGATCCAGCCACAAAATTTCAGATCCTTCAGCTTCCAAACTCTTCATGCGGAACTTGGTGCGGTAGTAGGGCATGCTGTGGGTTTCGTGGAGCAGGCTCGTCAGCCACTCGACAAAGCGCGGTTGAGGCACTGCAGCCTGCACAGGCACCGTCTCTTGCCTCCCTGACATGTCCCATTTCACAGCGATCACAAGGTCATCGGGGACACAATCCTGGGTTGTTCGTGAACGAACTAAAATTAAGTTACTATAACTCTATTAATATACTATACTATAGTAGTTTCCATTTTCTTTTCCATTATCCCTATATATCCCCAATATACTAAAGTGGTTTCCATTTTCTTTTCCATTATCCCTATATACCCATTATGGTAAGTTGATTTAAGTTCCCTAACAGCAAGGCTAAATCTGCTAGCACCCTTGCGAGCCGTGGCACGGGATCCAATGAACCTGGAAGCAGGGTTTAGGATTTAGGAACAAGGCGGAATCTGTGAAGGTTGTCCGGTTCTTACTGTTACAACAAATTTTAGCATCAGGACCTGACTATGATTAGGATTGCTGCTAGTTTTTACGCTCACTACTCCTCTAGCCACTCTTACTCTGGCCATTTTCTTTTCTACCACAATCACTGCTGAGCCCACAACTCATACACCACCTCTTTCTGCATGAGCAAATGAAAGATGTAGCACGCACTCCCCGACCCCAGACTTCAAGACCCGAACCTTTAACCCCAGAATTCATTCAAAAAAAGATCTTGCCCAGAACATCCCAGAACCATAACACAGCCCTGCCCTGCAACACTAAATGCCGTCCCACTCACTGTCTTCTCGTAATGTCACCCTAAAACCGAAGTTCTAACTCTCGGTCTTTCGCCCCTTCGCGAGGGCGCCTCCCGAAGTTGCTTCATGGGCAGGCAAGGCCAGGGGTTTGCCACGGCGCCTCAACGTACGGTTCACAACAGATAGCACCGTGATGATTTAGACTAATGCTATTGCTATGACTACCACTATTGCTATGACTACCACTATCACTATCAGCATGACTTTTACTATGTCTATTTCTCTTCCTAGTACACTATCGCACTATTGCACTAGTACACTATTGCACTATTATTACTCTATTGCTCTACTGCTCTATTACTCTATTACTCTATTACTCTATTACTCTATTACTCTATTGCTCTATTACTCTATTACTCTATTACTCTATTACTCTGTTACGCTATTACGCTATTACTCTATTACTCTATTACTCTATTACGCTATTACGCTATTACGCTATTACGCTATTACTCTATTACTCTATTACTCTATTACTCTATTACTCTATTACTCTATTACTCTATTACTATTACTATTACTATTACTATTACTATTACTATTATGATTCCATGATGGATGTTTTTCTTGCTCCCACGGGTATATGTTATTACTGTCCATACTGTTTTTTTACTGTTATTGTACTCATATCATGATGCTTCTATGGATCACATCGTACCACCGCTGCATGATTAACAGCTGCTACAAGATAAACTGAGGGCGGTTCCTGTTGCTTTGCTGGACCTGAAACTAGCACCAACACCATGTGGGGAAATTATTGGGAAACCTGTTTTGTAAGGGACCATGAGGATAGAGAATGATGACATATCTTGAGAAACTCCCTGCTGGCTTAGCGTTGATCTACCCAGCCTGCATGTCTGAGCTGGCCATTTGCCTCAGCAATGGGAAACAAAGGAGTCACATTGTTGTGAAAACATGGCCACTCCACCCCAAACAGTTTTCCTAATGGTGCAGATTCTGCTGGTAATACGCGTCAACGTCCTCGCACTGCTGGTAACAAAAACCATGTCGCGTGCTATCATGTCTACGACTCGTGGCATGATTCACTTCTGTGAATGATGATGCTGCAATTTCTTTTGCATCCTTACTGGTTTCTTTGATCTGCGTCATCTGAGCCATGAGCTGGTCGCTGGTGGACGCAATGGTATCAAACATTTGGAAAACAGCCAAGAGGATGCAACAAAGCCAAACAGCTGCGAAGGCGATTTTTGGGTCTTGGGTGTCTTGCGACACATGTCATGGGCCTGATTCGGGGCTTTGGTGAACCATCGCACGCGGATGTCCGTGGCAATCAAAACCCAAAAATGCATAACCATCTTAAAGGACTTGAAGGGCTAATGATTTGGTTGGAAACACACATATACGTAGATTACAAATTTCTTAAACCTCCAAGTATTGAACCGAGGCCCGGCTCAACTGTGAGATGCCACCGCCATGAATACTGAATACTGTAAATGGTGCTGAGTTTAAGCCAAACACATCGAGAACCCTCAACCTCCCCCCATTGGCCTCCCCCACCTTCTTTAAACTCTTATAGACGTTTCAGCACGCACTTATAGAACTCAGACTGTAATGAACCTCACTTTCGGCGCGACGGAGGGCAGCAGAGGCAGAAGAAGAGTGGGAAAGGAGCGCACGAGCAGTCAAGCGACAGAGGGAGTACGCGGCAAGGCAGAAAGGGAAAAAGGGGGAAACAGAGCAGAAAGGGAGTTCAGAGTTTAGAATGACTGGAGGGGTTGAGGGTCATTTCGAGAAGGTGGGGGTCCCATTGGAGCGGGAAGGGGGTCCCCCAACTTCTCTAAATCAGTCTGAATCGCTTCAAATCACTCCAATTTAAACCTCCGCCTGCTTCGGACGTGCCCTCCCCTTGCGCCCAAGATGGGGGAGTTCATGTGCGACAGGGGTGCTATTGAACAGCAAGGTTTGTCGGCCACGAATGGGCTCGGGCCATAAATGTTACCATGTTGGCAAGCATGCCCGTTTTCGCATAGATCTTGTTCAGTTTCAATCATTCGCAGCCCTTGGAATGGTTGAGAGCCGCTTAGAGTGGTTTAGAGAGGTTTTGAGTGGCTTCGAATGGCTTTGAACGGCTTAGATTGGTTTAGAGATGTATAGCGTGAGCCCTTCAAATCCTTTTAAATGGTGTGGAGGACGTGGGGGTCCTGAAGCGGGGACAGGTTAAGGGTCACTGAACAAATTGATGTTCCCGAAAATAAAACATGCGACCCCTCAAGAGAAGATGAAATCCATTCCAAAAAAGGAAATGTTTATTCTGAATTGGGCACTATGCGGCGCCTGAACCGCAGACAAAACTTTTTCTGGGGATCGTGTTGATAGAACTTTTGTTCGTTTGCTAAACCCCAAAGAACAACCCCCCCCCCCGCAACGGATAGAACCTTCTCAGCTCAAAACGGCTGGCTCATTGCAGATGGAATTTTGGGGGGCTGCCACGGGCTCGCGCCAGCGCACATAGCACTTTTGCACCCCGGATTTGGGCATCGCTTCCCCCTCATTTTAAACGATGTCCCCCCACCCAATATTACATATTCCGGGCCCGAAAAACTCTTTAATATCGGGATGCTTATTGCGAGTGTAAGATCGGGCTGCCTCCAGAAGCTCGTTTAAACTTGTTTCAAGTGAAATCTCATGACAAACGTCCGGAAATCCACGTAAAAAAACTATTTGAAACAGATAAAAAAAACTAATTATAAAACATTGAAATCGAGTTCAAATCTGAAAACCCAATTAAAACCGATTGGAATCAAATGAAAAACCCCATTGGACTCGATTTTAAATCCGACCGATTTGAAACAAACGCGGTTAAAGCAGTTTGAAATCCAAGTGACGTTCCATCAGAACCAATTGAAATCGAATGAAATTCCACTCAAAATTCACCGGAATCGAATAACAATCCACGTAACGTCCATTGAAGTCAAACTAGAAACAGTTCAAAAACAGCTGACGTCAAATTAAAAACCACTTCAAATCAGTTGAGAGCGGATTAACAACCACTCAAAACAAAGAATCAAATATAGATCCCGGTTAAAGGACCGGAGAACCCCACATGTGTATATAGTTTAACCCTAAGTGAGATAATATTAGGATACCGTCGCCCGCCGATATAATATAAAAGAATGACAGACCCTCGAGACAACATTCCCCGACGAAACGATGAGCACATTGCGCGAACGCGACGTCGGCATCAGCTGCAGCTGAGGTATATGTATTGCATATATGTACATGGTCACGTGTACATTTCGCATATTTTTCTTCCCAAGCTCCCGATCATTCGGCCGCATCGCCAGAAGAACACCCCAGATAAGCCCCCATAACGTTTGCTGCCAGTCTGCCCCAGCTTGACATCCCGGGTCGCATGTCGCCAAACTGAACGGCCGTCAGGACACTTCGCAGAGAAAGCACTCCAGAGATCGCGCTTGCAGTGCACGGCCACGCAATCATGTTCCCACTCTCTGATCAATGTCCGACATCTCAAAATAGCCTCCCTCTTCTGGACCACAGCCAACCCTAAAGCACGAGCCTCCAGTAGAGCACGCAGAGGCCAGGAAGACACCCGCGGGTGATGAGGAACGCCAAAGGTCCTGAATGTAAACAACGGACTGATCTCAGCTGGAGCTCCGACCTTCAAAAGTTCCGACACCACGTTCTCCTGCCCGCCGTAAAAGCCCTTGATCAACCGCAACTGATTAATTAATCCACTTCTCAAAGCTGAACGCATGAAAAGCCTGGCCTTGCCTTTCAGCGTCAGAGTCCGCAGGACATCCAAGTACTCATTCACAGGGCCGAACGCAAAGTCAAACGCCTCTGTCGATTCTTGTCCCTCCATCCACAACAACACGGTCTGCAAATTGCCACGTCTGCTTGAACCTCTCTCGGCACGCAAGAACGCCAACTCCACGTACTCGCAAAGAGTCCAGCGTTCGAGGCTCGAGGCTCGAGGACATCT